GATAGATAGATAGATAGATAGATAGATAGATAGATAGATAGATAGATAGATAGATAGATAGATAGATACTCAAATAAATTTCAAACTAGAAGAGATTGGGCATACCTGATAGGAATTGTGGGCTGTTTCCTTCCAAAATTGGCTTCAAAGATGAAACCCTCCAAAGCGATGAAGAAGAACTGAAAAAACGTAATCAAATTCCCACTTCCTGGATATTCCCTGTGTTTGTGTTAGAGAAATGAGAGGAGGGAAGGAGAGAAGAATATTCACAATTTGTCTGCTGCTTTGGGAAGCTTGGAAATAAAAATGAGAAATATAACCAAGAAAAAGCAGAAAGCAGTTCAAATGCCATGCATTTCTTTCTTTCTTTCTTTTTTGCAAACGGATAAAGAAAAGATTCAAAAGATTCAGAAATTAGAAAATAATTATAAATAATTATAAAGCCGCCGAAATGAACAAAATAGAAAATGGAAGCTGCATTGTATAAGAAATAGTACACCAATGGATTAATATGTATAAAAGAAATATATGTGCACATAGATAGATATAAGATGTATTGTATATAAATGAGTACATTAGTAGGCTAATATGTATAAAGGAAGTACAAATACATATGTATGGGCATAAGAGGTACTGTAGATAAATTAATATATTAATAGACTATCATGTATAAAAGAAATATATGGACACATGCATGGACAAAAATGGCATAATGGAGATATACTGATGTGGAAATGCTGCAAAGATGATAATTGTGTTAAAAAACTGAAAAAAAACTTTAATAATTTTTTTAAAAAAAAGACTCAGAAAAATACAGGAAATTATAATAAAGGCAACACATATTTAATTGTACATATTCTAACAGCTTGTAAACGCACACTACTGAAAAAACGTAGAATGATCAAATGACAGGCGACAATATAATTTAAAAAAAATATTCTGGTATGTGCAGAAATTGATAGGTTTAAACTTTAAAAACCAAAGAAAATCAAAGACAAAGAAGATTCGGAATATTTCATGACATGGGAACTTTTCTACAAATAGTTAGTTAACAGATACAGAGGTTAGATGAGTGGATTGGCGTGAAATATAGAGTACAGGAGAAAGAAAGAATGATTAGTAAATATTTTGATGGTTATGTAATTGATATCCTAATGGAAGAGAGCATACTTTTCAATAACAATTGGTATCGCATATATGTTTACATGTACATGATTATAATGATTATGGTGGTGATTATATTTTAACACTTTGGACACCTAGAAAACACACCGTTCGATATAGAAATGGAATCTGGGATATAAAACAATAAAAACATATTAACAAAAAGGCTCAGAAAAATCCAGAGACTACAGAAAACATCAGTAGTTGACAGAAGTGACATTTCTGTTGTTCAAGCTTGAACTCTGAGCTTGGTTGGTTCTTGCAGACATTTCATGACCCAGCTAGGTAACATCATCAGTGCCAAGGAGAGTGGGGTTTGCCACTCGCCCTGATGATGTTCCCTAGTTGGATCATGGAAGCATTTGCAAGCCAAGAATGAAGTTCAGAGAGCGCTAAGGACCCCACAAAATTTGAATTAATGTGGACCTCGGGAATTGAACTGTGAGGGTCCTTGTTGCTGAGCCGAGGTGGCGCAGTGGTTAAATGCAGCACTGCAGGCTACTTCAGCTGACTGCAGTTCT